AAGGAAATGCAAAATTTACTTTCATCAGAGAACATGACTTTGGACCACTCACCAGCAGTCCAGTCCTGTTTCTCTTTAGCCCAGGCAAGACGCTTCTGACGCTGTCTGTGGTTCAAGAGTGGCTTGACACAAGGAATGCGACAGCAGAAACCCATGTCTTTCATACGTCTGTGTGTGGTGGTTCTTGAAGCACTCACTCCAGCTGCAGTCCACTCTTTGTGAATCTCCCCCACATTTTTGAATGGGTTTTGTTTCACAATCCTCTCCAGGGTGCGGTTATCTCTCTTGCTTGTACACTTTTTTCGACCACATCTTTTCCTTCCCTTCGCCTCTCTATTAATGTGCTTGGACACTGAGCTCTGTGAACAGCCAGCCTCTTTAGCGATGACCTTTTGTGTCTTGCCCTCCTTGTGCAAGGTGTCGATGGTCGTCTTTTGGACAACTGTCAAGTCAGCAGTCTTCCCCATGATTGTGTAGCCTATAGAACTAGACTGAAAGACCATTTAAAGGCTTTTGCAGGTGGTTTGAGTTAATTAGCTGATTAGAGTGTGGCACCAGGGGCCATCAATTTTGAACCTTTTCACAATATTCTAATTTTCTGATATGATGAATTTGAGATTTTCATTTGTTGTCATTTGTAATCATCAAAATTAAACAAAATAAACATCTGAAATATATGAGTTTGTATGTAATGTATGAATATAATATACAAGTTTCCCTTTTTAAATGGAATTACTGAAATCAATCTACTTTTTCATGATATTCTAATTTTATGACCAGCACCTGTATAAGACCTTAAGCTCCTATGGGAATCCTTTATGAAAAAATCTCATCATTCTTCCAGAAGAACCTCTTTGAGGTCAGACACTGATGTTGGATAACATCATTAAATGCTTCCAAATGTGTTTTTTTTTCTTTAAGAAACTTTCAATTAACACTAGTTTATTTATACAGCTCTGTACACAATTTTATTAGATCCTCCAGGTTGGTTAAATGTTTTCTGTTTATGGAAACCCGACTGATTGCATCAATCATGTTTAAAGTCTTCCAATAGCAAACTCCAATTAAAACCGAAAGTATGTCTGGTACCTGGTTAAAGGTATACTATGCAACCGGTGTTGATTTTCCAGCGAGGCTCCCCCCAGAGGGCGAAAGTAAAAGTGCACTGTCGTAAATATGCTCAGCTGTTCTCCTGGTTTCTCCGTCAAGCGAGGCGCGGTTGTTTTGAGCTTAGCAGACAGGCGAACGCAGCTGGCGCGACAAAAGCAGCGAGTTTACATGCAAAGTCAATGGTTGACGCGCGTCAAGGCGCAGCAAAAGGTCCCGCGGCGCGTTTTGAGCAGCAGGCGCAGCGCGTCTGAGCAGCTGAAGCAGCGTGTCGGGCGCGTTTATGCTGCGTTCACACCGGGCGCAGCTGGCGCGACAGAAGCAGCGAGTTTACATGCAAAGTCAATGGTTGACGCGCGTCAAGGCGCAGCAAAAGGTCCCGCGGCGCGTTTTGAGCAGCAGGCGCAGCGAGTCTGAGCAGCTGAAGCAGCGCGTCGGGCGCGTTTAAGCATCTGACGCGCGTGACGCGCAACAAACGCGCTGCTGCTCGAGATGGAAAATTTTAATTTTTGCTGCTCGACGCGCCGCGTCAACCAATCAGAGAAGCTGATCTGGGAGCTGGCAGGGAGAGAGACACAGCGCTGATGACACAGACCGCTCTGATTACTCCTCTTAAACAGTTTATTAACGCATAATTAACTTAAAATGCATACATCTGCCGGTAGAATATGTTCGCTTTTATTATCCTGGTGCCTGCAGATCGGATTATTTAGATGAAAAACACCTACCAGCCGCCGCGGTAAACCGCGAGGAGGCGACCCGGCCAGAGGCTGCTGATGAAGGGATTCCTTCTGTCGGCGCACCGCCGGTATGTGGGGGTCTGAGCGGCTCCGACAGAAATAACATTGGGAGGCAGGATTGTAATCTGGATGAACTGACTGCACTGATGAAGTTTTCAGGTGTATTTTCTCACTTAAACACATATTAAAACTACTTTATTCCCACTGATCACAGCAAATATAGCTGCAAGGCAGAGAAAGGATAGTGAAGCTCCGCCCAACGTGCCTCAGACACACTTTTGCACCGCGCAGGCAGAGCAGCAAAGCTGCTTCAGCCGCGCGTCAGAACTAACTGGTACAAGCAGTAAAAATGAAGCAGCAGACGGGATTTTGCTGCTTTTGCTGTGTCCGGTGTGAAAGCAGCGCTGCACAAAGATTGCCACTGTGCTAGCAACGAGCATGCTTTTAACTGGGGGCGTGTAGCAGTTCTCGCCGTAAAGCAAGACCGACTCTCGTGAGACTTCTGAGCCTGTGGGTGCGGGTCGGTGCTCCTGCAATTGCAAGTGCGGTTTTTCCCCCACAGACCACCAGGGCGGCCGAGAATACCTTTGTTCAACCTGAAATGACTCATTTAATCATCCAAAACGTTATGGAACACATTAATTAACTGAAAAATGTTGCATAGTGTGCCTTTAACTTTGAAAACCTTTTAAAATATTTAAAATAGTCCAGCCCATATTACCTTCAGCATAGGGACACAGAAGCAAAGCTATTTATTGACAACCATGCAGCCCTGGCCCATTTTTGGGATTCAGACTGTACGGTGGTGCAGTTTGTAACATTGATGCCTTGCAGCTAGAAGGTTCAGGGTTCAATTCTGGCCCCTGGGTCTTTCTACATGGAGTTTGCATGTTCTCTCTGTGCATGCATGGGTTCTCCCCCGGTAGTCCAGCTTCCTATCAGTCCAAAAAGATGAATGTTAGGTTAATTGGCTTCTCTCAATTGTCCAAATGTGGGGACAGAAAAGGTCTGGATGCCTGTGATGGATTGTGAGCTGAAATGTTAGGATACTCAACATCTGGAAGAAGAATGTTTTCAAGATGACTTGGATAATAGCGCGTTGTGACAAACACTATACAGCACTGGGACTTGATCAACAGCCGATACCGCACCGTGACCTCACAAACCAGTAGGTGGCAGTAGTGTTCTTTGACAAACATGGATGCCTCCAGTAAAGCACGTTCACATGAAAATTACTCTTAATCGAGAATACTTATCATTTATTGAACAGCATGCAATAATTTCATATTTAAAGTACTTTCAGAATTTTGAACTCTGAATTTGACCAGACTTTTCCTTTAAAACAAGCTTGCTATCATTAAGTGAAGTCACAGCTGATGGAGTAGCCAGATATTTTACTCATGTAAGAGAAGAAAGTACAATGGAGGAGTGGCGGCCTAGTAGTTAGAGCATAGAGCTTGGAATCCTGAGGTTCTGAGTTTGAGCCCCACTCCCACAAACTGCCACTCTGGTTTTCTGAGCAAAACCCTTAACCCCACACTGCTGCCCGAGGGGATGGGTTAAATGCAGAGGTAAATTTCTCCAATGTGAGATCATCCATCCATCTACTGACACTCTTGTCCTGAGTGGGGTCGCGAGGGGTGCTGGAGTCTATCTCCAGCAGTCAATGGGTGAGAGGCAGGGTCCACCCTGGACAGGTTTCCAGTCCATCACAGGGCAACACAGAGACACACAGGACAAACATCCATTTATGCACACACTCACAGCTAAGGACAATTTAGAGAAGCCAATTAACCTAACAGTCATGTTTTTGGACTGTGGGAGGAAGCCGGAGTACCAGGAGAGAACCCATGCATGCTCAAGGAGAACATGCAAAGTCCATGCAGAAAGACCCTGGGTCAGGAATCAAACCCAGAACCTTCTTGCTGCAAGGTAGCAGTGCTACCCACTGTTCCACTGAGCAGTCCAACAATGTGAGATCACATAATAAAGTTCAATTATTATTATCAATGATGTAGAAACTACTCCTTAAAGTACTATTTTCAAAAACTGAGTAAATGAAAAGCTGGTTACTACCCACATCTGATATCCTGATCTCCTGGTTATTACAACAGAAAAATGTTAAATCAGTAAACCAAAGACTTCTTCTGAGTTTTTTTGGAAACGTTTCAGCATTTATTCAGAATTTATTGTTAGTTTTGGCAGCTCACTCTACCATTTTATTATATCGATTGTGGAGATATTTATTATTTTCTTTTTGTGTTAAAGTTTGTTTAAATGATATTAGTTTGTTTATTTTAGAAAAAATGCTATTTTTTTCTATTAAAGGGGAACGCTGTTTTTTTCCATTGGCCCCTTGATTTTACGTTATTCCATCATGTTCTTCTCACCCATATGAGATTTGTGTCATTTGGAGCCATTCTGAAGTTCTCAAGTAACGTCTTCCTATGGGCAACGACTTGAAGGCACAAACTAAACTGTTCATCATTTATTCTTTATGGTACGCCAGCATTCAGAACATGGAGGCCAATCACTGTCCCCCAGACATCCGTCGTTATATATTTTATATTTATAGAGTAGGTTTTGAGGAAACCTACTCTGTGCTGCTCAGTGGGTAGCACTGCTGCCTTGTTGCAGTAAGGTTCTGGGTTCGATTCCCCGCCCAGCGTCTTTCTGCATGGAGTTTGCATGTTCTCCCTGTGCATGTGTGGGTTCTCTCCGGGTACTCCGGCTTCCTCCCAAAGTCCAAAAACATGACTGTTAGGTTAAATTGGATTCTCTAATTTGTCCTTAGGTGTGCGAATGGATGTGTGTCTTTGTTGCCCTTCAATGGACTGGCAACCTGTCCAGTTTCTACCCTGCCTCTTGCCCTTAGACGGCTGGAGACAGGGACCAGCACCACTTATGACCCCAGCTGTGATAAAACGTGATGGAAAATGGATGGATGGATGCATTGATACCAAAATAATCTGCTGCACTCTATGGAGTGGAAATGTTCATTTCACTACTAAGCTGCTGGTCATTTACTGTCTGAAAGCTGTACAAAATGTCGCATTGTATAAACTCTGTGTATACAAAAATATAATTAAAGTTGTTTAAGTCAAAGCATTGCATATCTCTAATTTGCACATTAAGTATCTAAAAGTAGTTTGGGTTTATTATCTGCCGTTGCTAAAGTCTGTCACATTACATGCCTGCTGCTAAATGCAAATGATTTTACATCATCTTCATTTTAAACAGCATTTTTCATGAACTGCAGCACATCAGATACTAAAGCTGCTAAATCCCTGTCGTTTCATTTAATCTGTATGTTTACGGCCACAGCATTCCCTTCAGCTCTTGTGAGGTACAAGCATTATTAAAAAATAAAATCTAAAAGATTTTCATCACCAAACACCATTAGAGGAGGGCAAAAACATGGATATATTTTGGGAATTCAACTCAATTAATCCTTTAAAACATGCTGCTGTTTACTGTCCTCCATCTGCTCTCCTCCTCTCCCTCGTTTTATGACTTCAGCTCCTTCTCCTCAGGGCAGGACTCATCAAACATTAATCTGCAGCGACGGGCTCTGATCGGCAAACAAGTGTTTCTTCATGAAAGCAAATGTCACAGGAACCTTTTAAAGGTTCTAATTCAGTCACTTGAGGGAAGCTACAGGTGATTTTAGTGATTAGGATGGTCTCTGTCTCCCTCCACCTCTCTCCTTTCAGATTGGACACTGGTGCCATCATGTGGCTGGCACGGCTCTTAACAAAGCACTCTTTTATGAAACCCTTTGGCTTTTTTATTGATTGTATCATTATAAAGACTTTAAAATGTTACAAAATATATTTAAAATCAGCTTTTTAAGAAATGAATGTAAACTGTACTCGTTACAGAGTCTTTCTGCAGATGTTTTCATGTGTCTCAGGCAGAGACTGTCTGCAGCTTCAGTCTCTATGTTCCTCATCTGTGTTGCCATTTTTAATGGGAAACTCCAGCGAGGTCCTGTAGCGGATGGGCACCTGCTTCTCCTCACCGATAGGCTGCTTGGCCACAGGGGCATGAATCCGAAGCTGCCCTTCATCCATCAGCGAGCAGGACAGCCCAGACAGGTCCAGGTGATCAGGAAAATCTATTCTCTGCATGAAGCCCATCTGGGACGACGCTGAGGAGGAGAAGGAAGCAGAGGAGGAGGAGGAGGAGCAGGACTGGCTCTCCTCTGCTCCGGCCTGCTTCATTGCCACAACCGCCAGACTTCGCCCCTCTAGTTTCACTGTGATGTCCGCCGGAGCGTAACCGCGGGCGTCTAAGGTCACTAGAAGATCGTTTTTGTCGCTGGTCTGTTCCGTGTTTTTGTTTAGATCTGTGGTGACCACCTCTGTCCTCTTCTCTCTGTCTTTGTTTAGTCTACGAGAATAAGAACATCTGGAATATATTTGTGTCTGCTCAAACATCTACCAGTCTGCACACATGTAGGATCAGACCAATCGCTAACAGTCTCAAATCTTGTACCCACCTTTTCAGTGTGGATGAAATGACAGGAAACTGGGCGAGTGTGAGCAGCTGTGATCCATCATGGACATCTCTGAGGAGGCTTTCAGCCAGCTTTCCTCTCCGACCAAAGAAGTTCTGCTGCAGAGAGGACAGGGCTTCATCACACAGTGGCCAAAGCATCCCCTCCTGGCTCAGAAAAGGCTCATCGGCAAACAGGCTGCTTAAAGCTGTATGGTGGGACACCATTACTGTGCCACAAAACACTTCCTGGTTTTAGTTTAAAGGAAGAAAGTAACTTTTTGCTGGTTCCAAGTAGATCTCAGGCTCCTCAGCTGTGTGGGTGTAAATCTGCTGCTGGCTTCAGATCCTTTATGTACCCTAGCCTCAGCACTGCGGCCCTCCCACTGCGCTATTTAAGCTCCATGAGCTCAGCGTATGGCAGCCAGGTCAGGAATGCCCTGCTACTCATCAAAAAGCTAAAGACAGCTCATGGTTATAATCTGCTGGTGTGTGTGTGTGGCTGTGAAACGAAGATTTCCTATTTCTGGGGGATCCCCTAAGCACTCTGCTATTACCCACCTGTTTTCCTTCATTCCTAAGCAGTGACACAACAAAGCAATTGGAGCGCCATTAGTTTACATTTATGAGAAACAGTCAAAGTAATGATAACAAGTTTAATGTCCAAATTGTCACCTTAAATTGACATATTAAAATCCTCTTACTTTATCAGACTTTGCTGAGGAAAAAATCAAAACTATGACAATAACAATTGTATTACAGACTTCTTACATGTATTGTTAGAAATCCAGAATGTTTATTTTAGATACGAATAATATCGTTTCAGATATATGAAAGTGATACCCCAAAACACAAAAGGTAAAAGGTGAAAAGAGTCACTCTTTTTGACATTTTAGGGTATCTAGTATCCACCCTTAAGAGGGGGGTACTGTCATGACTGCACTTTTTGGTTCTGTTTAAGTTTTCTTTTTGAATACTTTTTATTCTTGTCTTTTTGTGTTTTTGTACTCCTGTTTTGTACTTGAATTTCAGATATCTAAATATTATTAATGCCTATAAAAACTGCAGTTTTTATAGGCATATCAATTAGAACATATATTAATATATATATATATATATATATATATATATATATATATATATATATATATATATATATATATATATATATATATATATATATATATATATATATATATATATATATATATATATATATATATATATATATTAATTATAACAGTGTGTGGTTCATTCCTCCCCTTGTTACATTGGAGTAATTTGGAAATTTTGTCACTCCAGCTTCTCAAATTTAGTACATCTTTCTACTATTTTAGTACATCGGCTAACAATAGCAAGTTAGCTTCATCCACAATTCCTCTGGTCTGAATGAAAAGTAAGTTAAATGTCCCTTTAAAATGACTCAATTAATTTGGCATTACTTATAAAGCATATATTCATGACACATATCATCTAGAACCAAATCATGCAGACAGGATGGTTCAAAGTCTAGGATGGTTGAAAGTTCTATCAAATTAACCCCTGCAATTTTGCATACAGTCAATGACTGCAAAATTAACTCCTCCTGGTTGAGCGCTACAGAAGTAGACATTAACTTACTTTGAGTCGTGGGCCATGAAGCAAAGCAATCACATCTCCAACACAAGGCTAGCAATTACTCCTCCAACGCACAATCAAGATAAAGGAACAGCAGTACAAGCTGTCCAGATACGTAGGGTGAAATGGACACCATTTATTTCCCTCACTGGGACCTGCGAAGAAGGTCTCATCTTCATACTGTAGGATCATTTACAAACATAAGAAATGTGCTACACTCAACCTGAAACTTAAGCTCTAAACAGATCAATAAAAATACAGACAAACAGAAATACAGAAATGCAAAGAGCATTTACAGTATAACTGGCTGGTTTCAGACATTAATGAGCTATTTAAAAGGTTTTGTCATTTATTAATTTATTGTAATTTATTGGGATTTTTTTTAAATTATTTTTTAATGTAAAGGAGGAATTTTTTGTTGTTACGAGCTTGTTTTATTAACTCAAGGCTCGGTTGTACTTTTTATAGATTATTTCACAAAAATATCTAACTTAAAAAGTTTGTTTGAATTAAAAATATTATCCACAAAACAACAAATTGTCATCAACAAATATTTCCCATTAGCCTTATATTATGAGACATTTAAAACAGAGAGAGAGGGGGTATTACATTGTATTCTGGCACATTAACATTGTGATAAAGTTTAATTTGGCAGTAGAGACTTTATAAAGCAGCTACTCACACAGAGTGCATGTAGGGCAGCAGTGTAAACAAAGCCAGCAGTGTCTCAGGTTACTGTTTCATCACTGTTTCTCTTAAGGATGAAGTCAGATTGCTGGCATTCCCCTTCCATGTCTGCATGTGTTTGTGGGAAGCTGGTAACATTGCAAGTAGCCTCAGTCATGATCTATTTATTGCCCCTTTGGCACCATTAAAAAACCTGGCTTCTCATTACTGAAACAAACAGGGAACCAGACTAAATTTGATCGGAAAAGAACTACAGCTTTCTAATTCTAATCAGCTCTTATGACAGTGAGTAAAGTGAACCTCTTTCTAACCATCAAAATTTTACAAAACGGATCTGGTTAGGAATCATTTTTAAGCTGAAGCTCTAAGAAAATTAAAAGTTGAGCTGAAGGATGTTTATTTTCAGGATCTATGTCTAGAATTAGAAAAAAATAAAGTTCAACTGCACTCCTTGATTGGGCCAAACACAACTGACTCCAGTCTTATAAGAAATCAGATATACTTATCCAGCCTTCAGAAACAAGTGGGCAGTGATCCAAAGGATGGCAAAGACAGAAATAGATGTGACAGTCATGATGGCCTCCATTTCCAAATTGTAAGGCTCTCATTACATTAACCTGTTTAGTCTAGCTTGAAACTAAGGCTGCCCTCGTTCAGCCAGTCTGTGCATTAAGAAAGCACCGCTGGAATAATGCAATTATTCTTATTGCCACATTGCCAGACAGGACACTGTAAAAAAAAAAAAAAGAAAATGATTGTAGGGGACACAGGGTCTACAGGGTGGAAAAGCTTTCTGCCCTCTAACACATTTGTTTTGTTTTTTTCTTTTTGGTTCAACCTAAAGTTTTTACCCCATTAAGCTGATATTAGACACAGAACACATGAAAAACAATGGAATATTAAAGTAGAGATTTATAAATTGACAGGTTTTTAAAAATTCCTGTAACCTTTTCGGCCCTATGTAAATAAAGAAACACCCCTGCCACCTAAAATAGTTAAGGAGATTGTTGTTTGTGAAACTGTCTACACCCGCTGTCAAATCCAGGAGGGAGGGAACAAGGTAAAAGCCAGAGAAAAGGCAATGGCCAAAGCAGGCATTCTAGCATAATAACAAATAAAACTTTGATCACATTTTCCAGAACAGAACATGATTTCTAATTAAAGTTTCATAGAGCCATCATGTTTATGATGACTTTATGTGGTTTAAGATTTTGGAATATAATTTCTTAAAATTGCATGAGATTTATACTAAAACTGTACATGTGCCCCAAAACCCCGAAATGGGTTATGCAAAATATATTTCCAATTTATCAAACCATCCAGACATCCAAAGACAGGCTACTTCCCTATATAGATCACGCCTGTGTCGAATGAGCTAATGAAACGGCATAAGGGTCCTGTGGATCGGTCTCTCAAACAGTGACATGCAGGGGAGCTTGGGCGGTAATTGAAAAACATGCTAAAGTGCTCATTTGGAAACCCAAACATATGCTAAAATGCCCCCTTAGGAACCAAATCACATACTAAAGCACCCTCTGCAATGGTATAGTTAGTCCGTTTAAATTCCTGTAATCCTGGCTCCGAGGTGTAGCACAGTTTAAAGTTTGGCAGTTACCCTGGTACCAGGTCTTGTCTATGTTCCTCTCTACCTCTGAGCCTGCCTGTCTCCATCTAAGCGTGTCTGGCTACTGACTCATGGATCCGAGAGCTGTATGGTCTGATCTGTTTCCCTGACCTGGATCAGTCTCCTGCCTGCTCACTGAGGTTGCTGCATCGGGGACACTCAATGCTGCCGGCTACCATTTATTCATCCTGTCCACTGAACTGCATCCTGGATATGCACACACGACCCATTGTTACCTAATAGATAATTTAATAGTTTTATCACGTCTCCTTCTGCAAACTTGCTGCGTGCACTTAGCCAGTGTAGCCGCCTCTGGCCCGGGCTGCCTATCACAACTCCAGTTCATGGCGCACGGATAATGTCATACACACTCCGCTTTGTTTTAAAAGATATAAATATAAAAAAATATACCCGCAGATGTCTGGGTGACAGTGATTCGCCTACATGTTATGAATGCTGGCATACCATAAATGATAAATAATGAACAGTTTAGTTTGTCTCCTCAACTCGTTTCCCATGGGAAGACGTTACTTGGACATAACCTAATGGAATATCTTCAGAATGGCTCCAAATGACACAAAACTAATGTGGGTGAGTAGAACATGACGTAATAACGTAAAATCAAGGGCCCAATGTAAAAAAAAAAAGGTGTTCCCCTTTAAAACAGCTTTTTTTCTATGATTTGAAAATATCAGTTTAATACCAAAAATTCAAGTTCTGTAATCTCATTTGAATGTGAAAATTGAATGTTCAAATCCCCCCGGCCCATAAGTGGTGCACACCCACTCTTATGACATAATGTTTGCCAACCAATTGCAAGGTCAGCTCTTTACTCTCTATCCAAATTGCAAACGTTGTGTTGTCCACTAGGTCATTACTCCGAATTTTTAGATCAGTTTTGAGAGTTCCTATCTGATTTGGTGTTTAATACTGACAGGGTCATCATAGTGGGGGATTTTAACATCCATGATGACATTGAAGGTGATAGCTTAAACCCAGCCTTTAATGCTATCTTAAATGCTATTGGCTTTGTTCAAAATGTGAATAGTCCCACGCATTCTCATCTTCATACTTTCGACACATGGCATTTTTTCACAACCCTGACTTCTCTGACTACTTTTTAATGACCTTTAGGATTACATTAACAGAGTCTTCCTCCCCTAATAGAAGGGTTTAATTTAGTGGTGTCATGGATCAGAAAGTAGGACCCAGAATTCAGGCAAGACACACAGTGGAATACTTGAAAAAGCTTTTATTAAATACAGGCAGATCTGCAGTGGCTAGCGTGTCTAGGGCAGAGACCTCTACAGGAGAGAAACACAGGTTAGTGAGGATGATTATAAAAGCATGAGTCACTAACCTGATTTAACATTTCAATACATAGGCAGAGAACAAGGTAGGATCCGGCCGGTGGGCTGCCAACACGATACAGCGGGCGCCGCCCACAGTGTCCCAGATGCTGTGGTTGAAAGGAGAACCAGCAGGAGGCCAAAGCCAGGTCAGGCAAAAAGATCAGAACAGGAAGGGTCACATGCCCAGGAGTTTGAAGGCAGTTCCAGAACTGTGGACCCAGAATTTCAGGCAGACAGACTGATGACTTTACAAAAGTGTGTCTTGACAAAACTTTGAATATGCGACTCAGCAGCTAGGATGGAAAAGAGCAGAATCTCTGTAGAGGGGAAAACTTTAGTTAATGACTTCATAAATCTGACGGAAGACAATTACGTGCGTGTGCGTCACTAATCTGGTTTTAAAGTTCCGTCCGTGCCTAGAAGAAGGAGTGGAATCCAGCCGGATGATTTCCCACAGTACGTGGCAGATGCTGCCTAGACAGTTCCACGAGTTAAAGCCAAGAAGACTGCCGTGCTGTCTGACCAACAGATGCAAGCAGACAAGGGAAGGCAGGAGTTTCTAGAAGGTGAAGCCAAAGCTTGCGTCGATTAGGTAAACAGGCGTCCAGGCCACAAGATCCAAAGATATACTGTAAGGAAATCCTAGTCGGGGATAGGAGAGAGATCCTCGGGCTTACGGGTTCAAAAGAGGCTGAAAGGGTCGAAAGCAGGCAGAAACCAGCATAGGTCCAAAGACAGGTCAGGCAAACAGTTCAGAATGGAAAAGATCAGGATGTCGTCAATGTAGACAAAAACGAAGACGTTTAGAAAGTCCCTCAGGACATCATTAACGAGGGCCTGAAAAACTGCAGGGGCATTAGAACGACCAAAAGGCATAACCAGATATTCAAAATGACCAATGTGAGTCTTGAAAGCAGTTTTCCACTCATCCCCCTACCGAATACGGACCAGGTGGTAGGCGTTTCGGAGATCAAGTTTGGGGAAAATGGTGGCTTGGCTTACGGGTTCAAAAGAGGCTGAAAGGGTTGAAAGCAGGCAGAAACCAGCAGAAGTCCAAAGACAGGTCAGGCAAACAGTTCAGAATGGGAACAAGCAGGCTCAGAGGTCCAAAGGGAAGAACAAGACAGGATCAGGCAATCAGAACAACACACAGGGGGCGCTAGAGAACTCTCACCAAAGGCTGGAAAAATCTGCCACTGACTAATGGGGGCAATCAGCTTAAATAGAGACAAAAGCAGGTGGATAAGATGAACAGTAATGGGAAACTGGGCGGAGATGGGCAGGTGAATGGAATGAACCATTAAGCTAGTCATTAGTGCTAAGATGATGACAGACACAAATGAAAACTAAGCACTTTCTATTCAGATTTTGTTGTATCTTAATGTTATTTTTATTTCAGCAGATAAAAATGTTTTTTTCTCTCCTAGTTTTCATAATTTCTCCAGAGAACTCTGGAGCAGGTTTTCATCTTGCTTAGTTGACTAGTCTTACAGTTCCTGTTGCAGAAATATGTCCACGCAGCATGATGCTGCCACCAATGTGCTTTACTTTGGGAATGGTGTTGCCCCCTTTGAGGTGCGGTGCATGGTTTCCTCCAAATATAATGCCAGGCGTATACACCAAAGAGTTTGATCTTTGCCTGATCCGATCCGAGAACTTTTCTTTTTCTGTTCCTCAGAGTCTAAAAGTCCTTCAGAAGTGATATTTTAATAGATTCCAGATGGGGCATTATTATCCTTTTATTGAAGAGTGACTTTCATCTGGTCAATTTACCATGCAGGCCTGATTTGTGGATTGCTACAGAGACAGTGGTCCCCCTGGAAAGTTCATTTAAATATTTCTCTTCCAGATTATTTCCAGGAAAGAGATAATTTGGAACCGACACTTTAGATAACACTTTTTCATGCATATTTATGTTGTGATTCTATAGTTAAATTCTATTCCCAGCCCGCTGGGAATTTATGTTTCTGATACTTTAAGATGTTTATTGCCCTCCCCTGTAGGGGTGGTAAAATATCTTATTTAATCAGATATTATTTCAGCTGTTATATACTGTTTATGACACACAGTCCTACTAACTGTGTGTTAGAACAATAGATGAAAGAGTGATTCAAGCTCTAATCATGGTCAAACAGTTATTTCTGCACATACATGGAATAAATTCACCACAACTTCTGTTCAAAATATAAGATTTTATTAACAAAAATCATTCAGCTCCAAGTCAAACATATTTCAGTTTAACACTCTCAACTAAGACTAGTAAAACTCAACTAAACTAAACTAACTACTATGTACAAAGAGGAAGGGGAAAACGGTTGAAAAACATATTACAGTTTAAGATGGATTCTGTGTTTGAAACCAATGTTTATCTGGAAGAATTTGGGATATGATCAAATTAGCTTTTCACTAATTTTAAAGAAATTGGAATGTTTTCAGACCAATTCACAATGCAAATCCACGAGGTGAATAAAACATTATTTGGCCAAATAATGTTCTATTAAATGATTTGCTTAATCAAGAACCAATAACCTTTAGCTAAATGATTCTTTACCCTCTTTGAAATAGCTAGCAGCGAATAGACATCAGGCTTCCACTAAATGACTCTTGGTCATACTTGGTAATGGAAATGTAATGAGCATTTGAGGAACACATAAACACTAATGTTATTTCAGTGTTTAAATCCTTAGTGAATAAAGCTTGTCTAAGCTTTAGCAACAGCTCATGAGCTCAACACATATTCCTGTAGCATAGCGTAGCATGCAGTCCATTCTTTAGCATCAATTAGCTTTGTCTTTACTCAGCAGTAAACACACGATATGATTAGCATCATCAAAAGACATATTGCTTTTCCTGTCCCTAATCATGCCAGACCTGCAAACCTTTTTCCATGTCCGTTTGGAAAGCTTGAGTTTCATCCAGTTTTGCAGCTCTGCAGTCAGGGATTCTTTGGCCCCGTCCACATGAAGACGAACCCTGGCCTAAACGCACAAATTTTTCACCAAACCAGCCTCTCATCCACACGAAGCCGGCGTTTCGGGGGTCTGTAAACGATCATTTTTTTATTCACCCTTCAGAGTGGGAAGATTCTGAAACGCCGTATTCGCGTTTCCATCTTTACACCCTAACCGCATTTTTTTTTTACACGCATGCGTCATAGCGTCGCCTCTAAACACGCAAGCGCGACACATCACAACAACAATGGCGCCGTTGCTGCTAATGCTACTCACCCTGCTGTCGGGCTGGTCGGGCTTACAACAGAATCTTCTTCTGGAATATCTCCAGGAAGAACAGAGCAATATCGACCACATAGTTCAGCACCTGAATTTGACTTAACCACGAAAATAGACCCGCAGGGCAACCATTTATAAATATTAGTGCGCATGCCCAACATTTCGCTTATTTTTGCTTTGGCACCACAGCGCCACTTACAGGCCTGGCATACATTTTGCAGCGTTTTCATGGATTCGTGTGGACGCTCACATTTATTTTACGTCTCCGTCTTTACGGCAAACGTTTTGGAAAATATCAGCGTTTCGTGTTCGTTTTGACTTCGTGTGGACGGGGCCTAAGTCTCAGTCTCACACCAGGGCATTGTCTTCATCCAGTTTGGCTCTGTAAGTTCTGAAACTCAAGAGAAATGTGTTGCAAAGGTTCTGTTTGCAGCAGTTAGGTTCTGAAGAGTTCTGACTCATCCTTGATGGTTCTGGGGATCTGGTTTCCCTGGGGCCTGCATCTCCACTGTGGGCCACAGTGGGCCCCAGCTTTGAGCGCAGGAGCAGAAGCAGGCTGGATCAGACGAGGGAGAAAGAGTGAAGAGAAGAGGCAAAAGAGCTCTGTGGTTTTCTCTTTCTTCACAGGGAGGGGGGTAGGTTTTCACACCTCTGGTGGCTCCCATGTGACTTGCTGGCTGAAAAAGGGGGGCTGCAGAAGTCCCCCAGCTGTTATTCACCAAAGCTGCGTTTTCTTCTCTGGTCATCCTATCAGGATGAAATATGGACACTGCTTCCCAATGTCCAAAAAGTATGATCATGGCATATGGCACAACATTTATTAAATCACCATGAGACACGATGGCAAATATAACATAATTTATCTTACTCAGACCAGAGAAATGGCTCAGTTTACAATGGTGTCACTAAGCTTTCTTCGTCTGGAAGTCTGCCCCAAATAAGAGTTAAAAGAAGCTTTTTATAGATCTGCACAGTCAAACCATGCCACGTGATTACATCGTTACATCACACACAATGTTTGTGAATCAGAAGACATCACTGGCTCCAGCAATATCGAGATAACAGTGTTCTAGATCAAAGACAATCCAAATGCACATTGAGAAAGCTTTCTTTGTTAAGAATGATTCCCTCTGTCTGTATGCTCCCATTTCATTTGTCAAATGTTATGCTAATTAGATACACTGCTCATGAAAACATTAGTCTTCCCCATTTTAGTGGGACGGACTTATGCTTTCTGTACATCAAACTGGTAACATTTCTTCTTATGGGCTGATATAGATAAATGATTTAAGGACTTTCAACAGAACTATAATTAAAGTGCCTTGAGATGACATATGTTGTGAATTGGCGTTATATAAATAAACTGAATTGAAATGGTAATAAAAAAAAAAGGTTCAGGCAAAAGTAAAAATGTACAATTTTGTTGTTGAAAACCTAAGATTGTAAAACAAAGCCACTATACAATGAGAATGATCTGCAGAAATGGGACCAGGTCCACTGTTTGGTCGGGAAGTGGGCCAGTCTTCGAGTTCCGTTGAGTCAGAATGTTCTTGAACTTCTGCACTGTGTTGGGTTGTATCACTGAAATGGAGGAAACAGGAAACTTAACTCAGATTAGTTCAACAAAGAGGTGAAAAATTGGATTTAAAAGTCATGCTAAGAACTTTTGCTGCAGGAGGAATCAGCAGGGTCAAAAAACTGAAGGGGGAGGGATCCTGAACGGGAAGGGCAACAGAGCACATGCATCTGGAAAACATTGAGGAGAGAGAGAGAGTAAAGGAAAGAGGCAGGGAAAGACAAAGGCAGAAAGCTGTGAGAGGAAAGGCTTTTAAATTTCATCAAAGCCGTTACGACTGAAATTATGTTTAAGTTCCAATTCTGTAGAAAAACAAGATAACTTATAAAACCAGACAGGCTTAGTTTATCCAGAAGGCAGAAAAGGAGAAACAGGAAAAGCTGACTGAGGCGTCTGGCCGGTTCAGAGAGAGACTCTGGGACCTTTGACAAGCTAACAAAGGTAGTTTGGCTTTAAGAAGAGAGTGACGAGAAACAAAAGAAGTAAAAGTCAACTTCAGGTAAAGTGGAATTCCAGATTTTACTTCAGAGATGAAGACAAACATGAACGGAAACTCCTTTTTCGTTAATCAGCTGGTTCCAAACAGTCAATTTTGAATGCATGCCTTATAATTTCATCACATGCTAAATTACAACTGCTTCCTTTAAATTTCCTGTATTTGTGAACCTGATTCCTGATCGACTCAAACGTTGAATGTTCTGTGGGCAGCCCTGCCCCACATACTCTCACCTGGTGGTCCAGGGGAGGTGGCTGTGGGGTCATTGCACACATACTTCATCACACCGATAAGTGGGGGGTGTTAAGCCTGCAGCAAATCTCTGAGTGCATTGCAGTGTCTCTTAAACCAGATGGTAATGTCCATATATCATCTTCACTGGTCTACCATGTTCGTCACATTTTAAATCGCATGACTAATTTCCTTTACAGGGTCATAGGTTGCATGTTTCTTAGTTTTTCTGTTCCCATGATAATAACAATGATTGTAGAAGTATGTGCACCTTTTGAAATGTTATAACCACATATTTCTGTGCATTTTTATTAATATTTGTACATGAAAGATCCACAGAAACGTGTAATTGTGAAAGGGAAGGAAATTGATATATTGGTTTGCAGCTGTTGCTTATGCTAATGAATGATTGTGATCCAAACAGGAGTTCTTTTAACCTCTGTTTTGTTTTTCCATCTTTCCACAATCATCTTATTTACGAAGAGCTTGACTAAAACTGATCTCAGCAGATTGTTCCACCTAAGCTCTGATTTTCTGCAGCTCCTCTAGAGTCATCATGGTTCTCTTGGCTGCCCCCCCCCCTTAATAATTCTCACCTTTTCCAGCCTCTCTCTCTAGTTGGATGTCCATCTCTTGGTAGGTCTGCAGGAGGTCTGTCCACTTTCCGTGTTCCCATGATGGGTTGAACAAAGTTCTGGGAGATACTCAGAGATTCTGAGGCTGTTTTAGAATCTTCTTTAAACTGAACCAGAACCTTTACCCTGACTTTGCTGCTGTGTTTCCCATTCTTTATGAAAGATGGTTGTTCTCTAATGTTCTCTGAAAGACATTTAAAAGAAACAGAACAGCTGTGGTTATAGTTAGACTAGATTTAACACAGACCCTGCCCCAAATCAGAATAAACAGGGATCTACAGACTACGTTACATACATGGCTTATGTCTACCAATCAAGTGAAAGCAGAAAGCTGTTGGAGAATATTACATTTATGAGGAGTAACAAATAAAAAAGGACAAAAAAGGATTTACAATTACAGACTTCTTAAATAAAGTGATGAATTATGAAAAATCAGGTCAGGTTTACCAATACCTGAAGACGTACCAAGGCCCTTTCGCTGTATTTATATAAAAAAAAAAATGGTTAAAATTGTTTTGGGTTATCTTTTTTGGTTTTCATTTGTATTATGACGGTGTGGCTGTACTTAAACCAACTCTCCTTTTCTTTTGTGCAGAGAAAGCGCCATGATTCATTGGTACTTTTTTATCGAAGCCATTTTGGATTTTCCTGTCTATGACCCACATTTAGAGCAAAGAATAATTTCATTGGCCACACTACATTTACAGCACGTTACTCAGGCTTCCCAACCCCTGCAAGCAAATAACTCTTTAATGAAGGATTCTGCTTTGCGGGAGATATAATATGCGTTCCAGAGAAAATGCTGGAAGTCATAGAAGACATGGGAAATGCCTTTGGCAGTATAATTAGGCCTACTGAGCTGGGGAGGGAGCTTCCTTCCTGTCAGCAGTTAGACTTCCTGTGTAGGGTGGCTAGAAGGACAATTCAGATTAGACTTCCAGTGTAAACCTGCTCATGAGCACAAACACATCTCCACATATTCAGTTCTTCTTTTTATTCTTTGTTCAAAGGGCATGGAGATGTTGAATGGATTGGGAAAATCATTTCTTACCTAAAACATGCTGTCAGATTATGATATAATCAAAAAGGAAAACTGATTTTTTTTTTTTTTATTCAAACACAAGACATCTCCGAATTTGAAATCCGTTTAGATATAATAGATACTCTTATAACGGGATTGTTTGGTGCCTACTTTAAACAGTGTGTCTGACAGTCTGTATAAACTGTATTGTTACCCAGAATGTTTGCAATCTTTGCAGATTAGGCTTGGTTTTGACCTCCTGCCTAAAAGGTTGTTGGTCCCCCTTTTTCTGCCAAAATGTAGGTTTTCTGTGGCATCTGGCACAACAATGATTGCTGCATGTTCTCCAAGTCCTGGATATAATGAAGAGGTCCTGTTTGGGGTTTATCTGCCTTTTAAACTCAAACCATTTCTAAAAAAAATTGTTGGTTTTCTAGAAGTGTCCCTCTTAACCTAAAAAAATGGTCTGTTGTACAGGAAAAAAGTCACGTATGACAAAATAATTTTCTTGAATTATGAACACTGGAAAAACAATCTAGAAATAAGTAAATATTTCTTAAATAACACATATTTACCCTTAATTTGAATAGGTTAATGAGAATTTTTTTCAATATAATGAGTATTTTTACTCTTAAGATAATTAGATAATATCTTCTTGAAATAAAACGATACAATTGTGTTTTCTTATTTTAAGTGTAAATTGTCTTGTTCCATTGGCAAAATGTCTGTCTTACCTCCTCAATCCAAGTAAAAATTGACTTATTTTAAGAAAAAAATACTTATCTAGATTTAGATTTTTCCCACTGAAGGAGAACAAGAATAATCCATTTTTTTTGAGCAATGACTCTATTACAGTCACTTTGAGACATCCGTTCCCCCAGCCAGCTCTAAGCAGTAATAGCTCTATGGATGGCTCTATCTTTTTTTTAGGAGTGAGGGTGTGAAGCAAAGCTCAACGGACTTGGACTTAAACCCGTTCAGTCTTTCAAGGACCAAGGTCACTGTAGTTGCACCAAAAAATAAAATAAAAATGTACTCCTCTTCCACCTATCTGAAACTCGGTCATAGAAGTATCTCCAGCAGAGACTTCCCTCTCCAGCTTTTCTGGGACGGTTTGGGACGTCCCAAAGCCAGCCAAGAGGCATAGCCCCCCAGCATGTCACAGGCTGATCCCTGGGCCTCCTTCTGGACTGAGTTTCCCTCCTATGGGAGGAGAACAGATGCCCAAATCACCTCCGCTGACCCCTCTCAATGTGACGAAGCAGCAACTCGACTCCAAGCACCTCCCAGTGGCTGAGTTCCTCACCCTATTTCCAATGGAGTGCCTGGCTACCCTGCAGCAGAAGATTATTCTAGCTGCCTGTATCCAGGTTCTCATTCTTTGTGTTATGGTCCAGATGTTATGGCTGTAGGTGATGGTAGGAACCAACCAATGCATCAACGTCTGTGCTTTCTGGCTCAGCTCTCCTACATCAGAACTGTGAAATGCATCCATAACAGCAGCAGCTGCACCAATTGTCTGGTTCCAGAAGCAGACCTGGCTGTACTTAGAACCAGTAACAGAAAATGAACTCCATTAGAATAAATCCATTTTCAGTACTTCAATTACTTCATCCTGAGTAATCAGACGATGTCACTATCAAACCCAGCTTTAGTTTAGAATATTTTGATCCAGATGAACCTTCTCAAAATAAGAACCCCCCTCTTTCACAGAAAAGGTAGATTGCTGATCCGTAGCTGTGACTATGTCTATAAGTACTCTTTTTTTCTTATAGACTTTTTTAATCTTAAAACCGACTTGGATCTTACCTGTTTGGCTGTTTTTATCTCTGTACTCTTTATTTAACATGGAAAGTACTTCTGCCTTATGTTTAATGAGTATACTCTGCCTTCCCTGGTTGGTGAAAGGCCGTTTCGCACTGAGCTGAGGTTTCTGCTGGAGGTGTGCTTCTGTTAAAAAGCTTTCCCCTTCACTCTTGCTACGTGGTGCACTTAGTATGAGGAGATTGCTGTAAAGTCAGTGGAGAAATGCAAATAGCTGCAAATAAGTGTAAACTGCTGCTCTAAGAGGAGTGGATGCTTTCAGGCAATGACCTGATTCAAACTGCTAGAAAACCCCTAATACAGCCTGTAATGCATTATGTTTTCTGCCACCTTTCTATTGGAACCAACATTAACCTCTTTAGTAGTTATAGCTACAGCAGGTTGTGTGTGAAATTCAGCCACATTGGCAAGTCTTGACTGGTAAATAATTTCTTGTACATCTCCTCCACCTGCTGTCTGATAAATCCCACCCATTAACAGGTTCAGGGATAAGGAGAGAATTAGTTAATCACCTGACCTGTCAATGGTCATATTTATGTCTGATTGGTTTCTGTTATATAAACGTTTGAGCTTAAGAGGCTCCAATGCTTTATTTTGTAATTAATTACTTCATCTGTCTCATTGAACCCCAGTGGGCCTCAGCAGATGGCCGCTCACACTGAGCCTGGTTCTGCTGGAGGTTTCTTCCTGTTCAAAGGGAGTTTTTCCTCTCCACTGTCACTGCAAGCATGATTGGTGTGATGGATTGCCTTCTAGTCAATGAGTCGATGCAATCAACTGGTTTCCCTTAGATAGAAAACTTTAAATCAATTTGACTGGATGATCTGGTGAACTGGAAAGTGTCTTGAGATGACCTGTTGGGAACTGGTGCTATAGAAATAATCTGAATTGAATCTTAGGAGAGGTTTCCAGACATGTGAAGATTTTTCTTTTTCTTAACTTCATTCCAAAGGATTTTCAGACCCTCAAATTTAGCCTAATGACGGATTGAAAGGACAATAATTACTGTAGTTACATTGATTCTGGCTATTTTATAGGTGTTCAAAAATAACCATAGTGAGGAAATAAACATCCCCTTTATAGGGCAAGCTACTGTTTTTGATCACTTGCGTCCCCCTAACAAATGGAGCCCCCACCCCCCTTCCCTCAGTGAGGTCTAGAAGGACAATATCTATATCCAGTCAGCCATTCAGCAAAGATGCTGTACTATTTGTTTTGGCATGTGACCAATTAGCCCTTGAATGATATATTACCCACTAAGTTGAAAAAATATTACAAGACAAGAAAAAAGGTAAAAAGCCAAATATGGAAGTTAATAAGTTAATAAATATATATATTTATAAAGTTAATAAGCTAGGTTAAAAAAGTAAAAAATGTGATTGCCTGTTTCAGCATTAAATCTCTAAGGTTACAAAATAAAAAATAAAAAATTCTTCCACGCTCTGCTTTTCATGAATTTCTTACAGAAGCCCTTTTGTTATTTTCTCAACATTTTAGGACAAGTGGCCATTTCTTATTATTACATTGACCTTTCACTGAGTACCCGATAAAAGGTTAAAATTAGCCCTAAAAGGGCACTAAAATTGGTCCTGAAAAGGACAAACTGCAGTGAAAAACTCTTTAAATAAAAAAAATTTCTCTTATTTCTTGCAGGATGTCTGCGTCTCAGAGGTGCTTTTGCTGCGTCAAATACTTGATGTTTGTCTTCAATCTTGTCTTCTGGGTTAGTATTTTTACCAGTCACAAACTGCTGGTCTTATTTTATGTTTAAACTTTCTTGCTAAAGCATTGATGTTATAATACAGGTGCTGGTCATAAAATTAGAATATCATGAAAAAGTAGATTGATTTCAGTAATTCCATTTAAAAAGTGAAACTTGTATATTATATTCATACATTACATACAAACTCATATATTTCAGATGTTTATTTTGTTTAATTTTGATGATTACAAATGACAACAAATGAAAATCTCAAATTCATCATATCAGAAAATTAGAATATTGTGAAAAGGTTCAAAATTGATGGCCCCTGGTGCCACACTCTAATCAGCTAATTAACTCAAACCACCTGCAAAAGCCTTTAAATGGTCTTTCAGTCTAGTTCTATAGGCTACACAATCATGGGGAAGACTGCTGACTTGACAGTTGTCCAAAAGGCGACCATCGACACCTTGCACAAGGAGGGCAAGACACAAAAGGTCATCGCTAAAGAGGCTAGATGTTCACAGAGCTCAGTGTCCAAGCACATTAATAGAGAGGCGAAGGGAAGGAAAAGATGTGGTCGAAAAAAGTGTACAAGCAAGAGAGATAACCGCACCCTGGAGAGGATTGTGAAACAAAACCCATTCAAAAATGTGGGGGAGATTCACAAAGAGTGGACTGCAGCTGGAGTGAGTGCTTCAAGAACCACCACACACAGACGTATGAAAGACATGGGTTTCTGCTGTCGCATTCCTTGTGTCAAGCCACTCTTGAACCACAGACAGCGTCAGAAGCGTCTTGCCTGGGCTAAAGAGAAACAGGACTGGACTGCTGGTGAGTGGTCCAAAGTCATGTTCTCTGATGAAAGTAAATTTTGCATTTCCTTTGGAAATCAAGGTCCCAGAGTCTGGAGGAAAAGAAGAGAGGCACTTCATCCACGTTGCTTGAAGTCCAGTGTAAAGTTTCCACAGTCAGTGATGGTTTGGGGTGCCATGTCATCTGCTGGTGTTGGTCCATTGTGTTTTCTGAGGTCCAGGGTCAACGCAGCCACATACCAGGAAGTTTTAGAGCACTTCATGCTTCCTGCAGCTGACCAACTTTTTGGAGATGCAGATTTCATTTTCCAACAGGACTTGGCACCTGCACACAGTGCCAAAGCTACCAGTACCTGGTTGAAGGACCATGGTATCCCTGTTCTTAATTGGCCAGCAAACTCTCCTGACCTTAACCCCATAGAAAATCTATGGGGTATTGTGAAGAAGAAGATGCAATACACCAGACCCAACAATTCAGAAGAGCTAAAAGCCACTATTAGAGCAACCTGGGCTATCATAACACCTGAGCAGTGCCACAGACTGATCGACTCCATGCCACGCCGCATTGCTGCAGTAATACAGGCCAAAGGAGGCCCAACTAAATACTGAGTGCTGTACATGCTCATACTTTTCATGTTCATACTTTTCAGTTGGCCAACATTTCTATAAATCCTTTGTTTTTATTGGTCTTCAGTAATATTCTAATTTTCTGATATGATGAATTTGAGATTTTCATTTGTTGTCATTTGTAATCATCAAAATTAAACAAAATAAACATCTGAAATATATGAGTTTGTATGTAATGTATGAATATAATATACAAGTTTCACTTTTTAAATGGAATTACTGAAATCAATCTACTTCTTCATGATATTCTAATTTTATGACCAGCACCTGTAATATAATAATATTGATGATATCCTGTAGCTAAAATCATTCGGTCGGTCAGATTTCCTTTCAGCGGTTTTAATCGTGCTCTGATGTTACATTTCCTTTAAAGCTGGGAGGATGTGGCTTGTTCGGCGTCGGGGTCTGGCTGTCCTTCACACAGGCAGAGTTTTACTATCTTTCGTCGTCCTTTCCTTCGCTCTCAGCCGCCAATCTGCTGCTGGTTGCCGGTGGCATCACTATGGTGACAGGATTTCTGGGTTGCCTTGGAGCTCTGAAGGAGCAGCGCTGTCTTTTGTGCACCGTAAGAGCAATATGTGATATGCTTTCAAAGAACATTTAAAAAGAACTAAATATGGATTTGTTATTAAATTCCAACCTTTTAATGTTGCATGTCATTATTTAGCTGCTCTTCTCTGTTTTGCAGTTCTTTGTAATCCTGTTGATTCTGGTCCTAACAGAGGTCACCATGGTGCTGGTTTTATACTATCTACACGACCAGGTGAGATCACAGCCCTCCATACAGTCTCTAATCTGCATTAACAAAGAGGAAGAGAAAAAAATACAATATAATTTTGTGGATATAGAGCCACATAAAAACACCTAAAAGGTTGGGCTTGGTGCATCGTACCTACTTGGTTTAACCTGTTTTACCCTCCAAGTAGGAATAAAGTAACCTGACTCCGCCAGATGGATTTGCTCCGCATATCCATCTGGAAACCTTCCGTTGAAGTAATTTTAGGAAGGGGCGAAAATACTGGTTAGCTGATTGGCCTATGTTGGTGATAGACGGGCCAAATAAACCAATCAGATCAACGAAGCATATGGCGTACTAACAGAGCGACGACGAAAACACAACCGCAAGCCAGGCTACTCTTGCCGAAACCAGTCGGGAGAAGAGCAAAAACATCTTTTCCTCTGAGAAAAGCCTCCAGAGCAGTGTTTTGCTCTTCTTTCATTGAAGAAATACTCTGTAATTCCGATAAAACTTGCTCGATAGCCACGCTAATGCTAGTTTCATCGGCTGAAGCCGCCATGTTCTTTTGACTGAACTGTCGCGCTTCTCATTGCGTCACACCTCAACCTGCCTCAAAGCCAACGCTGATTGGACGTTCGTTTGATGAACGGCTCCAAATTTTCTTTAACGGAGAGTCTCCAGACTGATCTGCGAGTGAAACCTTGAAAGCTCGCGAGATCAAGATTGTCTCACGAGGCTAGGAATAAAGTCCAATAATCCAAAAAAGTAAAAAAACAACAACACTGGATTAGTTTCCAAGTTTGAAGACCTTTTGCTTCCCATCCAGGAAGCTTTTTCCATTCAAATGTCAGAAATAGTGTTGATTTGCTTTATACAGCAGCTCAACAATGTCTTGTTTTTGTTTAGAAAACATCCAAACTGAAACGGATGAACGGGTCCACCCCTTTGGAATGGGGGTCGTTTGGCTTCTTTGTTAGCCTGCAAAGCCCCATACCTGTCTATGTCTCTGGAAGGGGGGTCGTTAAAGGGAATTGTTGGCCTGGATGAATAGGTGAGGTCTTCTCTTCCCCTTTAAAGGGGTTGGGGTTGCGATGATTGCGGGAACGGATTAAAGCTACAGGGTGTAATAATTACAGGGATATACAGTCAGAAATGTAATATATTATACATAACTATGTTATTTATCATCATCTACGAGCTCAGCCTCTTAACCATAATATTTGCGTTGCCTTAGAATGCGTTATTTATAATTACATAGGAGCGGGTCTCGCAGCCATGGAGGCAGACATCTTTGCGCTACGGCAGCGCAGAGCCAACAAACTAGCGATTGCGAGATCGCCCATTACAATAACATGCTGCGTGATGATGCTGTTACTCTCCAGTATACTTATTCAGCAACGTCCCTGACGTTTCACAGGTAATGATTCAGTAATTTTCTGTAAAATAATTTTTTGGGTATATACCTCGGTTACTTCTCTCCGGCTCCTTTGGAGATCTTCAAGCCTTTCCTCCTCTGCTCTAGTCACCCCGCTGGCACCTCTCCCTCGCCTGGCCCTGGCTGCACGCCCACCCCGGCCTCTCTGCCCTCTTCCTCTCCCTCTTCCTCGCCTTGTAACCCCCGTGCCACAAACAAGACTTGGACTCTGTAAACGGGGAATATATATTCTTCCAGCAAACACAATCTCGCTGTTAAACTAATGGCTACAATTACTTCGTCTGTTTATATCACCATGCAAAGCAGCTCACCAAAACGTCACAATGATGTAGAAAAATTAACGGGTATATTTATTATCTTAAGTCTACATGAAATCTATACCCTACACAGACTAATGAAATACTATCTGTAAAATTATCTATGTAAACAAACCTCATCACTTGAGAAGGTAGGTGATGCGGACGTCGTGGAAGACATTTTGTCCCGTAACGCTCGCCGTACTGTTGGGGGGGGGAAGCGGTGGGGGGGAGATGTTCATGTTGCTGCGGTCTGCAGTCTGGACGTTAGATGTTGCTGAAGATTACACACTGTAGCTTTAACTCAATTGCTGCATTGTACGTTTTTGAAAGCTGAGTCCACCCCCTCTTGTCAAGGTTGGTATTAAAGCTTGAAGCCTGTTGTTCTCTTCATCCCTGACCACACATGTCTGACATTGTTCCGCTGAGCTTGTTCTCCAGGTTCTTCGTATATGCCTTCTTGCATCCTTTTATCTTGATTTTAGGTTGCTTCTTTTTTTCCTCATTTATAATTCCTTCTTTTCCTTCAAGTTTTTATTTCTTGTTTAGCAGTTCCTTCAGATCACCGGTAATCACTGGTTTCTAATTGGGCATCTCACGGTTCTAGTGGGGAGGGTTTTATTGAAACAATCAATAGTCAGTCATTGTATTGGTGTCCTCTACAGTGCATCCCAGTCTGCAGCCTCAATACACCTATCTTCTCACAGTTCTCTTTAATGCAGTCTGCCCCTGATAAAGAGCCTTTTACTCTGAGCAGAGAAAATAAAGGAATATGATCCGGTTTCCCTAGAGGAGGTCTTATTGCAGAGATGTAGAGTCCTTGACATTTATAAGTCCAATGTTCTGTAACAGCAGCTGTTAAACTGTTGGAATGTTGGCAGTTTGGAGAGTGAGGCTTATTCAAAACCACCAATTATTGCCAAAAATGCATTTAGCTGTTGTGACTGTAGCCTAGAAAAACCTAAGAAATAGAATTATTATTTGAAGCAGTAATTGTTCATCTCTTTGTCTTTTTTAGGTGGAGTTATATGCCAAGTCTAATCTAAAGGATGGGATGAAGAAATACGCCTCAGATCCTGAACTGCAAAATTCATGGGACAATGTGCAGAAAACAGTATGCATGACTTGGTTGAATCCCTCTGAATACTTCTGTTTTTTAGTATATCACTGACACCAAGCAGCTGCAGTTACAACCAGCCTGCTGCTACTGAACTGCTTTTGAATATTGTCATTATTCTTCTATCTTTGCTTCTGTGTGCAGTTTAAATGCTGTGGGGTGAACAACAGAACAGACTGGTATGATGTGCTGAACAACGACCTGCCCTCATCCTGCTACCTTGGCTTAACGAAAGAGACAGGGAAAGAATGGAATAAGGTTCGTTTGTCACTCAGTCCTGTGGGGAACATTTGGAGCACCAGGCTGGCGGGAGGGAAGCGGAGCGGTTCAGTTTTTTAAAGAAAAGGTCCGGTCAGCAAGGATTGATCAATGGATCGTTATTTATACCTAAAACTAATACGTTTGCAGTGATTTAATGAATTTAAAGTTAATCAGTAAAAAAATGCAAAAAGATCATTTTCGTCACGATCACTGATTCTAGGACCGTCTATTTTTGCCCAAATATAGTAACCCCTCCCTCCTGCCATCTTCTGGCAGTGACGTCACGGTGCGGTTAGCCTAGCGCCATTCTCCCCACTTTACAAGCAAAATCAATGGGAACTACTAGACACATCTGCAATCAACAACAATTATTGAAGATTTCCAGAGGACTTCACCATTGAAATTCACCAGAGCTATAGTGAAACTGACAAGTTGGATGTTGGAATACATCGGGTGAAAGTGGAAAAAAAAAAAAAAAAAAGTTATTCCACATTTCTGATTCCTGATCCTCCACGGACGGGTTGGTCGTTGGATCGCCAACTTGAAGAAGGAGAATTTGCCATCGAACTTCTGGCCAGAGAAAAAACCCGTAATATGTAGCCAACATTTGGAAGAAGAATGTTTTCAAGATGACTTGGATAATAGCGCGTTGTGACAAACACCAGATACAGCACTGGGACTTGATCAACAGCCGATACCGCACCGTGACGTCACTAACCAGTAGGTGGCAGTAGTGTTCTTTGACAAACATGGATGCCTTCAGTAAAGCACATTCACATGAAAATTACTCTGAATTAAAAATACTTCAATTATTGAACAGTTTGTAATAATTTCATATTTAAAGTCATTTTAGAAGTTTGAATTCTGAATATGAGCGGACTTTTCCTTTAAAGAGGGACTTTAATGGAACATAAACGTTCCTTAAAGGAGAATTCCGGTTTTTAACACTTTTAGCCCATTTTCTGTAGTGTCCAGGATGAAATCGAATGATCGACACCAAAATTTTGACGATTGGTCCTGTCTCTGCTTTTTGGCTCATGCAGAATCCCCCCCTGGCTGCTTCAGAATGGCTTCCATTGTGCATGTCCGATAATGTCCTTAAAACAACCTTAAACGTTCTTTTTTTTAAATATGCTACTCACCGGGTCGTCAGCGCTGTTCAATGACGTTCCAAAAAAAGTTTCGTGAAGAAAAACCGTTCCTGTCTCGTTTTATTTAGCATTTTGTAAATCCCAGAACAATTTTTTCCGATACATCACAACCGCTTATAAACTTCCGCTTCCCGTTCGAATCTGAAGCGTTGCACACTCCAGACCACTAGTTGGCGACAATGTCTCTATATACTCCTCCTCAGTATATTCCGGTTAAAAACGGTATACTCTACCGTCAAACTCAAAGTCCAATATGTCCTCCTCAAGAATCCACCTTTCGTATTCCATTTTCAGAGTTTTTTAAAGTGTTTAACAGAGACGTTAGCACCTCGACGTCGGAGTACACAGAGTGAAGCGAAAAGACTACAACTAAGTGTAAACAGGCCCCATTTCCGTTTCCGGTGGCGGAGGGATATTGACTATTCCAACAGAACTCAATGGGATTTACAAAATGCTAAATAAAACACTACAGGAACGTTTTTTTCTTTACGAAACTTTTTTTGGAACGTCATTGAACAGCGCTGACGACCCGGTGAGTAGCATATTTTAAAAAAAGAACGTTTAAGGTTGTTTTAAGGACAATATCGGACATGCACTATGGCAGCCATTCTGAAGCAGCCAGGGGGGGATTCTGCATGAGCCAAATAGCAGAGACAGGACCAATTGTCAAAATGTTGGTGTCGATCATTCGATTTCATCCTGGACACTACAGAAAATGGGCTAAAAGTGTTAAAAACCGGAATTCTCCTTTAACTTTATCTCTGTATCTTTATCTGCGCCGCAAATGTTTGCTATCAGTAACCGTACACACTTTAATGATTTACACTAAGCCTGGTTCTAATGGCTGTTTCTTCCTGGTAAAAGGAAGTTTTTTCTTCTCCTCTATTGTTGCATGCATGCCCTGTGTGAGGGATTGCTCTAAGACAACAATACAAAACCTGTGGTTCCTACATGCTCATCTAGGAGGCGCGAATCCTGCAAAGTCAATGACTCAAACTGTGTTTCCTTGGATGGAAAGTCTCTGCAACGTTCCTTGAGATGGCATTTGCTGTAGATTAAAGCTCTATAAAATAAATTAAATGTAATGCTTTGTTGCTGAATTGCTCCTTTTAATCAAATTTTTTATAAAATCGGGATTGCCTATTTGACTAAAGAGGAAATAAAAACCACTAACAGATTTGTTAAACTGATGTTAGACTCAGAGATGCTCTTAAACTGCTTTACAGATAAGCTCCATAAATCAGCAACTGTTAAGACCGACTGATGCTTTGATTGATTATTTCCTGTTTAATGTTTACATTTAGGCAAATACTGAATCAGGTGAAGCAACCTGCTCTGGAGATGTTCTCTAATAAAGCCTGAAATTGAGAGTGACCAATCTGAGGATGTGCACTATATGAACAAAAACTTCTGTATATAGTGAAATGAGCACAAGCAATCCTTGCACACATTTCATACTTATTCCTATGTTTCTCATGCTAGATGTCTTAATTTAGGGAGTGGTGGCCTAGTGGTTAGGGCATAGAGCTTGGAATCCTGAGGTTCTGAGTTTATATAATATGCTGTATATATAATGTCAAGGAACATGTTCAAGTGGTAAGTCACCCGTCCTGCAAACAGGAAGCCTGGGTTCATATCCCAGGGGGGAATGAGCTGCCTGTCCTGATACTTGGGCAAGACCCTTCACACTGATGTCTGCTTTGGGGACTAGATCTTGGAATCCTGAGGTTCTGAGTTCAAGCCCCACTCCCACAGACTGCCACTGTGGCTCTCTGAGCAAAACCCTTATCCCCACACTGCTCCCTAAGGGGATGGGTTAAATGCAGAGGTAAATTTTTCCAATGTGAGATCAACAAAATTCAGTTACTATAATTCCTCAAAAGGCCGTGGCGTCATTAGAATTGACAATCAGACCAAACCATCAGAATCAAGCATCAAGACCTGCTGTGAGAACCTTAGTCTACCTTTTTCTTCAACAATAGATGCGCCACGCATCTTTACTGCTTTGAGCAGTTTAATTCTTTCAGAGGGAAAGTGAAATCTTCTCTCCCTGGGACGTAGACATTTTTTTGTGCATTGTTAAAAATAAATCAGTTCTTCTTGTTAATCCATCTGCTGCCTCCTGCGATATTTCTCATCAGAACCTGTCCAATGTTTGTTGTGTTGCAGGGGTGCTACGAAACAGCTAAAAACTGGCTGAGCAACAACATCAGCTCCATGCTGGTGTTCGGCGTGTGCATCGGTGTCATACAGGTAATTAATTTGTCAGATTCATTTATTGGTTTATATTTCTAGAGGTAGCTTCTTGTCAGACATATTGAGATGCTGCTTCAATATTTCCTGAATGTTCGATCCTCATGATGCCTTCTATTTTGGGGAGGTGCACCAATCCTCAAAGCGTCTTTACAGCATGATGCTGCCACCACTCTACCTTGTAAATTGGATGTTTTTTCTCAAGCTTTAACTTTTCCCATTTACTCGCCCCAAAACAAACTATTTGTCCCCGAGTCCATCTGCAAACTTTAATCTGTCTTTCATTGCTGTTTTAATCACTCAGCCCATGATGGTACAGGACTTTTTTTTACTCTGGAGAAAACCATTTCCATAGCAGTTCCAATAGCAAGATCTTTAGCTGTGTGCTTGGGTAGAATCCCTCCTTTGACAAAGATTTGTTGCACACAGACTGGTGTTTTTAAGCTTTCGCTTCTGTTATGGTCAGTTTCTGCTTACAGCTAATAAAAAGGCATTTTATTTAAGGTTTTGTCAGGTTGGGGTGAAGTTTGAAGAGGATCCAAATGCAGAGAATGAAGCTGAAGTGGATTCTTGCAGATTTAACAACAAAAGTGTAACAGAAGCAAATTTCAACAAATATAAATCCAGAAAATTGAAAAACACTGAATATCAGATATACTCACAACAAAAAGGCAAAGAAATGACAACAAACCAGCAACTAGTGACTCCAGCAGGAGGTGCATATATGGGAGAGAGAAACAAAGACCAGGCTAATCTGCAGATTGGGAGCAGGTGTGCACAGAAGAGTCTAGAAGGGAGCTAGGGAAAAAGAGATTGGCACAAGAGGATAAAGCAGAAATATCTAATAACTCAAATACAATCAAATATAAGTAGAACCACAAAATGGAAATAAAATCAATGAAAACTCAAAGATAAAACTAAAACAGAATCAAAACCATGACAGGTTTGAATATTATATCAGATCAATAAAAAACAACATTTATTTATTTATTTATTTTATTTAGTGTCTATAAGTATCTGATTTTAGATGTGGTTCTGCTCAACTAAAATCACAACAATTCACAACACTTCAAAACAAATTGGTAGAAATGTATAAAATAGAGCAAATATTTATAGGAATATGAGTATTCAAATATTCATATTCAGTTTAAAGACACCCGGTGCAGGGCAAAGCAGACCAGCAGAGGACATGTTTAGGTCATGAGAGCAGCTCATCTTTTGGAGGAAATGTAGCAGAGCTGGGGTCCAGTAGCTCAGACTGGTCTGTGAAGAATTACCAAGCAGAGGGCTTTGACTAGGCCCATTTCCCAGCTTCTTTTGCACTGGAATGACTTAAAAACAATAAAAAAAAATACTTATTCCGACAATACTGCATATAAAAGGTGAAGAACAAACTGATTGTTTGTGTTGGAGAGAAGATTTTTCTCTTCAGAAAAATGCCAAAGTGAAACTTCCGCTATAGTCAGAGCCAGCTAACCCTGAGGCAGTCGCTACAAGTGAGCAGCGCATCTCAGCTTATGGAAACAGTTTACATGTATTGTTTGAAAAGTGGCTTTAATTGCAAAGTTTTTTTTTATTCAATTCAACCAAGTTTCCTTGGTGAAAACATATTGAAATTTTTATTGATTATTTTAGCATCTGTCAGGTATCACAATTCAATCTGCACTGCATTTCACATTGAACAGAGTTGTGGTTCTGCTGGGGGCTTCTTCCTGTTAAGGGTGAGCTTTTCTCTCCACTGTCGCTTTGTGCTCATTGAGTAGAAGCAAGTCCTACAAATTCAACAGCTCAGTGAATACTTTCCTTAGATAAAAAAAAAATAAAAATATTAATCTGTCTGTAGGATTTAATGATCAGCTCCGGAAAGTTTACTTAGATGACGTGTATTGCAAATAAGAACAATATAAGTTCAAATCTGACCCAATAAAATAATTCCTGCAACCTTTGTTTTTTAAATTGAAAACAACAAGAACATGAAGCAACAGCCTTTTCAAATTTCATTTTAGGCTCTGAGGTACGGTTGCTGAGGAGGGCCAACCCTGTGTATATACATGATATATCACAAACATAATAAACGCATAAAAAAGGAAAATGCGTCAGAGGAGAAAAGCTATAGCATAAATGCTATAAGGATAATAGCTGTTGAAAATACATAAATCATGCAAACAAACAGAACACATAAAGAACGAAATATGCTGCAAGTAACATCTGGTAGTTAGGAAAAGCTGCAAACTAGTATTGTATAATTTTTGAGCCACTAGAGGGAGACGATCATCATCTAACATGAGAGCAAAGCCTTAGTGTCAGGATACATCAGATGCTGAGAAAGATTGAAAGATTTCAAGGAAAGCTTCTTTTTTGTCCCTCTAGATCTCATCTGGATGATATCCTATTGGTGCTGGTTCACATTCTCAGTCATCCAGGTCATAGTCATTCCAAAAGTTAAAAAACAATCCATTGGACATGCTTTCCAAGTTTGAACACGTTTGCATCCCATAAAGGAAGATTTTTTAATACAAAATGTTATAAATAGCGTTGATTTTTGAGGCTTTATACAGTAGCACAACAAAGCCTTGCTGTTCTTAAGAAAACATGCAAATAGAAACGGACAAACGGGTCCAACCCTTTGGAATCGGGGTAATTTGGCTTCTTTTATTAACCTGCAATGTCTCATACCTGTCTTTGTTTCTGCATTTCACATAAACAGGTAAGTTGCTTCGATATTTCCTCAATGATTGCCCCTCGTGATGCCTTCTATTTTGAGGAGGTGCACCAATCCTCAAGGCATCTTTAGAGCATGATGCCGCCATCACTGCAGCTCTCAAATTGGATGCTTTTCTCAAGCTTTAACTTTTCCTGTTTTCAAAACATAGGTATGGGGCATTGCAGGGTAACAAAAGAAGCCAAGTGACCCACATTCCAAAACGGTTGGACCCGTTCGTCTGGTTCAATTTGCATGTTGTATAAACAACGACAGGGCTTTGTTGGGCTACTGTATAAAGCAACTCAACGCTTTTTCTGATATTTGAATTGAAAAAGCTTCCTGGATGGCAAGGGAGACGTCTTCAAACTTGGACACACAGTCCAGTGGATGTTTTTAGCTTTTTTGGATGGATATCCGATCTTCCTTTGTGTTTTTTATATAGGATCTGGTCCATTGGCATTCATTCATAGGAGCTTTTTATCTTCAAAGATACAAAATCATAGGTGCTAAATAGCATTTTTAGGTATGTGCAATACAAAGGCGTGTTACAGGTGATCTCCAAAGATCGCTATGCAAATGTTAAGACATTGAAACCGGCAGTTTGAGAAAGGCTGAAAAAGAACGATGAGGTTTAAATTCATGGAAATGAAAGTTATAATGATATAGCACCTATAGATATTTTATAGTGCCACAAACAAAAGTAAAAAACTAAAATAATGAAAATAAGTCATATAGAGAAAATATTACATTCCATTTTACCGTATTTTCACAACCATAAGGCGCACCGTACTAAAAGGCGCAGTCTCAGTTATGTGTGCCATTACTGTATTTAACACACACATAAGGCGCACCAGACTATAGGGCGCGGGTTTTATATACAGGTACATGTCCTCTACTACGTTTAAATACCTCTACTGCGTATTTAAAAATAGAGCCGGAGCAAAACTGAGTATGTTTGTGCTTTATTTGTGTATTTATTACAAAGTATTAATCCTCTGTTTCTGAATTAAACAGCTGCGCTAAATCAGACATGCCAGTTTCCCCTTCTTCGCTGTTAGAGTCACTTTCCGTGCCGTGCGGCTCCCCGGCTTTTGCGAAAGCTCGAACAACAGTGCCAGCAGGCACGTTAGCCCAAGCATCTACAATCAATCCGCAAACGGTGGCGTAACTTGGCCGGCGCTGCCTTCCACTTTTCGTGAAACTTGTCTCCGTCGTTCATCCATCGCTCCCACGCCGCTTGCCGCCTTACTTTGAACGGCCGGTTCACACCGATGTCGAGCGGTTGAAGTTACTTTGTCAGACCTCCCGGAATAACGGCAAGCACAGCATTCATTTGTTTCACCTTGTTTTTCACATCGGCTGTGAGATGGGCACGCATGGAGTCACAGATTAACAGCGATGGTGATGAGTGGAAAAAACCACCTGGTCTCCTTACATACACCTCCCTCAGTGGCGGCTGGTGAAAAATATTTTTGGTGGGGCTGATATAGCCTAGTGTATGTCTCCAACTAATCCGGAATAAGAATTCAAATAAACAATTGGACAATACATACAATTTAACAGTAATGATTTAATTTACTATATAATAACAGTAACAGTGATGATTTGGGTCACTGTGACGGGGTTCTTTGGCCTCCAAGAATCCAGGCTCAGTCGGGTTACCGGTGTTGGTGATTTATTGTGCTCAAAAACTCAAAACAGGGTGCAAAAGAAACTAAACATATACAAGATACTCTGGGCCTCAGCCTCCCTCCAGTTACCAGCAATGTAACAAAGAAACAGAAAACAAAAATTGCCGCTTTTCTTCCCACAGCCCTCATTAAATAGTTTAAGCCCCTCCCCTCAAATCTTATTTCTGATTTCTTCTCATAAATCAGTTTTGTCCATATATTACCTCCACAAACAATTGATATACAAAAACAAATAATTTTTACAACTTAATTCTTTTACACAGATTCATTGACTTATTCAATTACACCAAACTGGGTTTGAACCCAGCAAAGACGCAGCCAGACTGAAGATGACAAGTCCCCGTAGCATAAACACGTACACACCCACACCCCCCACACACACCCACACCCCCACATACCCACACACACGGCTAACCCCACTGAAATATTAAGTGTGCACCCTCAATATGCCAGCAGGTAACCAGGAACAGCTTGTGTGTTTTAAGTTCATGGAGCTACTGGTCTCAGCGCGAGTGTATTGGTCCTCACAAACACAGTATAACAGGAATGTGTGTGTGGCGCGCAAAGTTAGAGAGGTTGTTTTAAGCGACGAGGTGGATTCGTCACAGTCACAATAACCATGACATGAAATGTTCATATCCTACAACAGGGATGTTCTTCTGGCAAACGGGTAGATAAATAAGGATCTCACCGAATTTGGTGGAAGCTGCACCTCGCTCGTTACATTCGCCATCTTCCCTCTAATTGTCTGCACCTGCGCTTGGGTTCAGAAGCCTGTTAAAGCGCAGTATTTTCAGCGCCCCAAGACCATAAAGTTCCGAGACGCTGATTGGCCATTAAATTCACCTAGCAATAGTACATGATTGAGTTAATTTCTAAAAATATATTTTACGTTTCTCTCTTCTTATCAGGGAGGGCGGTGCCCCAGGTCCCCCTATGGGCCGGCCGCCACTGACCTCCCTCAGCCACTCTTTCATCATCTCCTCATCCATCCAGCCCTTTTCATTTGCCTTAATAACGACTCCAGCTGGAAAAGTCTCTTTAGGCAAAGTCTTTCTCTTAAAAATCAACATAGGCAGCAGTTCTGTCCACGCCCACACTTCCCCCTTTAACGCTCTCATGCCGGTCTCAACAACGTCCGCAGTAACAACACGCATAGGGCACGCCCCACATTTTGAGGGGGGAAAAAAGACGTTTATATGCGCCTTATAGTCGCGAAAATACGTTAATAGAATTTTATATTTTTTTTCTTATTGACATAAGATTATGTTCTTTCCATCTGGATTTATGTCCACTAACTCCTCTTAACAGCCCCTTGTCAATATTCACTGCTGAACGAGGAAGGTGCTTAAGAATTATATAAAACTGTGAGTCTTTGTTTCTACTTTCTACTTTCACAGTAAGTTACAAAGTAGCAGTTTTGCTCCTCTTAGTTGTGTCAGATTTGGTGGAAATGTGTAGAGGCTCCAAATGCAGAGACAGAAGCAGAGATGGTTTCTTTTAGATTTAATAATATAATATAATAATAATAAAATAGAATTCAACTTTAATGTCATTACGCAGTCACAAGTACAAAGCAATAAAAATGAACTCTTTGCATTTAACCCATTCCCTTGGGGAGCAGTGGGCTGCCATTATGCGGCGCCCAAGAATCCAAAGTGGCAGTCTGTGGGAGTGGGGCTTAAACTCTGGGATCCAAGCTCCATGCTCTAACCATGGAGCTTGGATCCCAGCTTGGGCCACCACTCGCCCAATAATTCAGACTGAACAGGTAGGGAACCTAAGCCAGGCATAGACTGTGGCCTTACGCTCTGATGCGAACTACCTGTTCGCACGGTACGTCTAAAAACCACACGCCGGCCTCAGCACCAAGAGATGGAGCTGATCGGATTCCTTCGGATTCTGGAAGAAGAAGAAGAACTCCTGGTTTGCACATCCGCAGTGCTTCAAGTTCTGGGAAATTGGATCATAGCTCTGCTTCAACAGCAGGATTTGCCCACGACCACCTTACGACGGCCGATTGAATTTCAAACACGTTTGATTTTCTCCCGACCTTATGATTCCTGATCATGAGGTGGTCGTGAGAGGCTCACCCACCCCCCCCACCCCCACCCCCGTTAAACCCTGTACACTACATGATGTAGGATCAGGATCAAACTCTGCCTGATCTAAAATATTCTCGCACAACGGGAGAATCTGCCCAAAAAGGGCTAGAAATCATACAGTATATACCTGGCTTTAGGAACAGAAACAAGGAGACACTTGGGAGGAACACAGATAGCAATGTAGGGAATCCAGCAAACAGGAACTGAACTGTAGGTGTATATATGGGAGAAAATAACAATGAATGGGCTTATCAGCTGATGGGGAGCAGGTGTGGACAGGAGCAAACAAAAGGAGCTAAGGAGAAAGAAACGGGGCACTAGGGGGAAACAAAGGATAACAAGAGAAAACAACTGGATCCTACTGTAACTAGGACAGAACTTAAATGAAGCTAAAGTTAAAGTAATGACTACAACTAAAACTAGAACAAAGAATAAATAATACCAAAATGCTGAAAAGAGAGAACTGAAAGGAATAACAGGGGAAAGTAAAACTAAGAATTCAAAAATCATAGAAATCTTGAAAAACACAGAATAATTTGAAAGAAAGCAAAACTAAGAACCCAAAAAGAAAACTAAAACAAAACCAAAGAATCCAGATAGGACAGAACAAATGACATGAGTCAAATTGTGGGAGACTCTACCCACCTCTGATGGTTCGGTTTGGTGGGAATTAATTTCAAAATCTGAATTCTGCAAGCTAATGGAGCATCAGCTTCAGTGATGGACTAAAAACGATGGAACTGCCTTCTCTGACCCGTGCCTCTCCTCCTCTTGGCAGATTCTGGCCCTGGTGTTCTCCATGCAGATGTACTGTCAAATTCTTCATGCTGAGAAGAACATGGACTGACAGCGGGTTACCGGCTAACATGCACCAGAGTCTTAAACGCTGAGGGGGAAACCTGCAGCCACTATACAGGGTTCCATGAAATGAGAACAGTTTAAATGTAAAAATGTCGTTAAAATGCTCTGAAGTGACTGATGATTCCAAAACACCTTTTCAACGGGTGTGTACGGCAGAAACGGTCCAGAAATCATTGATGTTGTTTCTAATTTCTTTATATTACGTTGGTTTGTACATTTATATTTTCCAGCAAAATGAATGCATGAATATGAACTGGATTAGCTAATTGTAAATACTAACAACACTGTTATGTAACATTCCTCATCATGTATTCAGATCCCTGATTAGTTGACATGTAATCATCTCACATCTCTCTCATAACACCGTGTATAGTTTAAGGCGGAGGTCTTCAACAGGGGTCCGCGACCCCTAGGGGGTCCATGGAGGTACTGCATGGGCGGTCGCGAAAGTTTTGGTTAATTAGACTTTTTTTTTTTTTCCCCGCTGCAATTTTTTCCACTAATTGAAACGTCTTTAAATACACATTAACATAAATTCAACACACTGTAGTAAAGAGATAAATGGAGGCAGACGATGTCTTTCAGTCATCAATGCACACATTCAGGAGCTCTTTCAAGCTGGGCACCATTTTATTCACAGAGAGGGATCGAATCAGAAATACTTTAATAATCTCAGGGCAAAATTACTTTATTTAAATTACTCCATCTGTAAAAGAGCGACTATGGGACCAGTTTGATAGAACTATATATAATTAGGGGGTCCCCGCTCCATCTCGCCATCAGTTTGGGGGTCCTTGGCCTGGAAAACGTTGGAGACCCCTGGTTTAAGGGACAACCATACTGTTTCTTGGGTTTTTATTTTCTATTCTCTGCTGCTTCATGCTTACGATCCTGTGGACTGATTTGCTAAAAAAAAAAAAAAAAGAAAAAGCTTGTTTAAGTGGTTCTTTAATAGTAAGCTAAGCTATCTATACAAACTGACAGTGTTATTTTGCTTAAGTGTTTTAGATTAGTAACAGTGTTTGTGTTCAAATCAATCAGATTTGCTCTCATTAGAGACTCTGGCTTCTCTTCGTCGGGTCACCTCACTGCGTATTATTCTGCATTCTGTTCCAATTTGTTGAAGGTTAAAGGGAAACGCCATTAGTTTCAATAATAGACTTTAAAGTATTTAATTAAATACAGTTCATTATAAACTCTGTAAGCTGCTCAGTTTTAATAAATTTAAATAAAATATAATAAACTGAATGTCATCATGTTGTTTATGCTGCAATGCATTCTGGGTAAATGACATATGCTAGGTAGCACTAGCTCCGTCCAGCCAAAACAGCAATGAGTTAAGCAATGAATGTTAAATCTTCTCCATTTGAACCGGAGTGCGTTGAAAAATGTTTTTTGTGCACAAAAGTGTTTGTGCAGATTCTGCTAACAGATGCTAACCTAGATGAAGATCTCCAGGTTCCAATTTTTTATTTTTTTTCCCAGCTTTTACTGTCACAGATACAGAGCAATGAACTGAACTCTCTGCATTTAGCCCATCCCCTTGGGAAGCAGTGGGCTGCCATTGTGGGGCGGCGTGGGGTTAAGGGTCTTTGCTTAGTGAGCCGAAGTTACAGTCTGTGGGGGTGGGGCTTGAACTCAGAACCTAAGGATTCCAAGCTCTAAGCCCTAACCACTATGCCACCACTCCCCTGCACTAATTGAGGCTGTTTACAGTTAGCATCCAGATTAAAACATTTTCTCAGGTATATGATGAGGATGGGCTGCTCAGTGAAGCATTGGGTAGCACTGCTGCCTTGCAATTCCCGTCCCGGGGTCTTTCTGCAAGGAGTTTGCATGTTCTCCCTGAGCATGCGTGGGTTCTCTCATGGTACTCTGGGTTCCTCCCACAGTCCAAAGACATGACTGTTGGGTTAATTGGCTTCTTTAAATTCTCCTTAGGTGTGAATGTGTGTGTGAATGGTTGTTTGTCCCTTTTGTCTCATCTTTGCACTGCGATGGACTGGAGAACTCTGTTTAGGGTGGACCCCGCCTCACGCCTCTAGACTGCTGGCAAAAGACACCAGAACCCCTCGCCAGCCCAGCTGGGATAAGCGTGACAAAATGGATGGTTGATGAGGACAAGGACTAGAAGGGTCTTCACTGTCACTCACTGTCAATACAAAGGTGTTCATTATCTTCAGATTTAGTTTCAATTTCACATTTGCTTCTACTAATGGCAGTGGCAAGCAGTGCATATCGTATCTATATATATATTAGGGGTGGAACGGTTCACAAAATCCACGGTTCGGTTCACGGTTTCGTGGTCACGGTTTTCGTTTCGGTTCGGTATATGTTGATTGTTCCCCCGAAATCCAAAAAAATGTATGAATTGTAATTATTTTTTAATGATCCGAGGAAACCCTGGATCATTTCCGCATGTTTTGCTGCTTTGAATTTAATCATCTGGCGCATGCTCTCTACGATCTCCAAGGAACTCAGAGCGGAGCAGACGGGAGCCACATTGGAGGCTGTAGGCTTTGCTTTGTGCAGGCGGTCTGGAGTGCAGCGGGGCGGAGTGCTGACGGAGTATGTGGGATTTCGGGATTAGCATGACATGTTAGTCATGTTGCTATTAGCATAAACAAAACATGTTGCACAATGCTTACACACTGTTGCACTTTTATCCACAACTTTCTTTCCGCCGTCATCGTAGGTCACTCTAAATGCAAAGTGGTCCCATACAGCAGACCTATAAAGTGCTGCTGGCGCGTCTTCCAACTCCTGCTCTTTCCCACTCGCCATACCCACACAATTCTCCACAACAACTGATTTTTTTCTGCTACACCCGGCTACGCTGCTTCGCTTCTTCTTCTTTTTGTTTACTACTGGTGGTTGGCTTTGGTCGCAGTACCGCCACCTTCTGCTCTGGAGCGTAAACGCTTCGCCTATGAGAAAAAGGAGCAGCGCATGAACCGAACGCAACACACGCGAACTGAACCGAGACAGTCGAACCTAACGGTTCGGACAGTTTTCATAAATCGTCCCATCCCTAATATATATATATATATATATATTAAAACTAGAACACAGTTCTAGTTTTCTACTAATAACACTATTCATGTTATTAATCTTAGGATATACTAAACTTTTGGAAAGGCACATTCCTGGCTTTTACACTTGATTTTTGTTGTTGAAATATTAATAAATATGTAAAAATATATGAAACCATTACTGTCCCCGTTTCCTAATTTCATCTCAATAAGATGTATTGATTTTTATCCACGAGCAAGAAATGTCCCCAGATTTGATTTCAGAAATCTGGTCACCTTATGCTAACAGCAACATGTCATGCTAACCCCGAAATCCCTCATACTCCGTCAGCAACCCCCGCTCCGCCCCGCTGCGCTCCAGACCGGCTGCTCAAAGCAAAGCCTACAGCCCCCACTGTGGCTTCGTCTGCTCCCCTCTGAGTTCCTTGGAGATGGTAGAGAGCATGTAACCTGACAACAGCCAGATGCATGTCTCGCTAGGCGGAGCGAGACATGAGCGAGACATGCATCTGGCTGTTGTCAGGTTAGAGAGCATGCGCCAGATGATTAAATTCAAAGCAGCAAAACATACGGAAATGATCCAGGGTTTCCGCGGATCATTTAAAATAATTACAATCCATTATTTTTGGGGGGATTTTTTCATTAATTTCATAATTTTTTATGGAATTTCGGTGTAACAATCAACATGTATCGAATCGAACCGAAAACCGTGACCACGAAACCGTGAATCGAACCGAACCGTGGATTTTGTGAACCGTTCCACCCCTAATATATATATATATATATATATAGAGAGAGAGAAAGAGAGTGAGAGAGAAACAGAGAGACGATGTGCAACGATGGATATCAAGGATTTAATATCAGTTAATATCACCACTTTTGCATTTTAATGAAAGGAACCCACAGAAGCATTCAAATATGAAATGTAACATGCACAGATATAACCGAGAGGAAGATTATTGTGCTAGTCAATACAGAGATCAATTTAACACGAAGCCCATTTAAGACAACAGCCATCCTCTACTCTAACCACAGCTCTGCCACATTTACATCATCAGGAGCCATTCAGATTCAACATGCATCTAATTACCAGAAAAAAATAGAAAATAAAATATACGCTGCAAAGATGAAGATTATTTATAAACTAAATCCATCCTTCTGTGTTTGTGCAGGAAATCTCAGTATCAGACATTGAGGTCACAAAAACTTTGAACAAAAGCGAATCTAAAATGCAGATTGTCGCTTAACTTGGCTGTAAACATTTTGCTCTCACTGACCAATCAGAGGACAGAAAGTGTTGATATAGGGGTGGACCTGCTCGCTGGCCCAGTTAGGCAAATCTGAAATCTGATTGACTGAAGAAAACGTTCTTCCCTAATATTGTTAAGGTCGCATCTGCCAGCGCTGCTGATTCTGAAGGTCCTGGGCAGATTTGATTGACATAGCAACACACAGAGGCTGAAATCTGATTGGACAGAAAGTATAGCAACTACATATCTCTAATAGAAGCAGTGCGGCCAAAAGAAATGCTACGAAATTCAGAGAATGGGTTGTTCGGAAAAAACGAACACAGTTGGAAAGAAGAAAGTTAAGGTTATGAATGTAGGTCAGTGATTACGATAGATGTTAGGCCAGCATTGAAGGCCTTGAACACCCTCTCAGCCGTCCCTTGATTAAGGGTGTTAGCTCTTGCTAATATAAGAAACAGTAGGTTACAAACTGATCACATTTGTTTCTTTTAACAGATATGCATGTATCATTTAGAACAGCTCATGAAAACTTGGCCTTCTCTTAAATTACACAAGGTAAAAAGCAATAACATACAGCCTTGGTAATATTAGCCTTCCTATTGTTGTGATTTTATGTTCAATGCCCATCCAGGTAGGATGCCAGCTGGGAATTTATATTTCTGATACTTTAAGATGTTTATTTCCCTCCCCGGTAGGGGTGGTAAATATCTTATTGAATCAGATATTATTTTGGCTGTTATATATTGTTTATGAACACACAGCTGTACTAACTGTGTGGATGGATCTTGTGTTTGAAAACCAAAGTTTATCTGGAATAATTTGGGATATGATCAAATTAG